TCTCTTCCCATATCCTCCCCATAGTTACCTCTTCCCTGTGTCCTTCCCTCTCGTGCACTCCTGCCCCCCGGGCTGTCTCCCTTGAAGATGCTTTTTATTTATTTGTTTTTAACCCTGAGACCCTTTGGTCTTATTTTTGTCATATCTTTGTTCATATTTTAGAATAGATTCTTAGAGGTGAAATTTCTGAGACAGATGGTATAAAAAACTTAAAGGATCTTGATAATTGGTGCCAAACTGCTTTCCCAGGAAGGTTGTATACATTTACAATCCAACTGACAGTGTATGAGAGCATCCACTTCATTGCCCATGGTGTAGTCTGAGCAGTATCAATTCTATTTTAATCGTTAGGTAAAACAACATCTAGTTGATATACTTTGCATGGTCTGTTATTATTACTGAGGTAGAACAAAGCACTTATTGATAAAATATATTTTTTTTTCTGTGAATTATCTCTCCATGCTTTTTGCCAAGGTCTCTCTTGGAACCATCATGTTTTCTTATCAGTTTATATAAGCTATTTAAACAATAAAGCTAGTGACCCTTTGCCATACTTTGATATATTTCTCTCTTTGTTGCTTGTTATTTATTAATTATACTTTTGTCATATGGAAATTCTTAAAGTTTATGTAATAGAATCTGCCTACATTTTCCTTGGTGATTTTTTTTTTCTATTGCTGTTAATTTGACAAAGTCTTCCCTGGTCCAGATTTCAGATGCAAAATCATCTACATTTTATTCTATGGTTTTAATGATTTATATTTTGTCTTTTTTTACTTTCTACTAATTCATCTTGAATTTCAGTAGGTGAATGGCATTGGTTGTTAGTTGCCATTGAGTCAGCTCCAACTCATGGTGACGCCATGTACAAGAGAGTGAAATGTTGTCCGGTCGTTTGTCATCTTTATGATCGTTGGTATACTCGTGTTCACTGTTGCAGGTACTGTGTAGTGCCTTCCAACCTAGGGGGCTCTCTTCCAGCACTACATCAGACAATATTCTGTTGTGATCCATAGGGTTTTCAAGGGCTAATTTTTGGAAGTAGATCACCAGGCCTTTCTTCCTAGTCTGTCTAAGTCTGGAAATTCCACTAAAATCTGTCCACCGTGGATGACCCTGCTGGCATTTTAAATACTGGGGGCATAGCTTCCAATATCATAGCAACACTCAAGGCACTATTTTGTTACAATCACCTCAGCTGATTGTGTTGAGGATAGGCTGATGCAGTGGAAGATAGGTGTTTTGGGAGCACCCGAGGGAAGGCCAGGTAAGCAGCAAACTGGCCACTACAGAAGGCAGATGTTTTGGAGTGCCTGGGAGCAGGGTGCAGCAGGTGGCTGTTGGACAGGTTGGGGAGACCAGGAAGTGAGTGGAGCCATTTGGAACAACTAAGGGGTATAAACTTGTCTGTCAGTTTGTCATACTGTGGTGGCTTGTGTGTTGCTGTGAGGCTGGAGGCTATGCCACCAGTGTTTCAAATGCAAGCAGGGTTACCCATGGTGGACAGGTTTCAGCAGAGCTTCCCGACTAAGACATACTCAGAAGAAGCAAGAATCCATCCACGTCTCAAAGAATTAGCCAGTGAAAACCTTATGAATAGCAGTGAAATACTGTCTGATATATTATTGAAAAACTTTATGAATAGCCCTGAAACATTGTCTGATATAGTGCCTGACGATGAGCACCTCAGGTCGGAAGGCTTTCAAAATAGGACTGGGGAAGAGCTGCCTCCTCAGAGTAGAGTCGAGCTTAATGATGTGGATGGAGTAAAGCTTTCGGGACCTCCATTTGCTGATGTGGCACGTCTCAAGATGAGAAGAAACAGCTGCAAACATCCATTAAAAATCAGAACGTGGAATATACCAAGTATGAATCTAGGAAAACTGGAAGTTGTCACAAATGAAATGGAACACATAAAGATCAATATCCTAGGCCTCTTATGCATGTGAGAGCTGGACAATGAATAAGGAAGATCAAAGAAGAGTGGATGCTTTTGAGTTGTGGTGTTGGCAAAGAATACTGAGAGTACCATGGACTGCTAAAAAGACTAACAAATCTGTCCTGGAGGAGGTGCAGCCAGAATGCTCCTTGGAAACAAGAATGACCAGACTTTGTCTCATCTACTTTGGTCATGTTGTCAGAAGGGACCATTCTCTGGAGAAGAATATCATGCTTGGTAAAGTGGAGGGTCAACGGAAAAGGGAAAGGCTTTCAACAAGATGGATTGACACAGTGACTGTAACCATGGGCTCAAGTATAGCAGGGATCATGCATGAGGCTGGCACAGGACTGGGCAGTGTTTCATTCTGTTGTACATAAGGTCACTGTGAGTCAGAGATGACTCGATGGCACCTAACAAGAAGAAGCCCCTGACTATATTTTGAGAAATATTTGCAGCATGCAATATAGCCTGCCTTAGTACAGAGATTTATCACCTCCCACCTCTATGACTCAGCCATCTCCCTCAGCTTCCAGGTAACTCTCCTCTATAATCCATCTTATTGTAGCTACTAGAGTTCTCTTCTAGAAACATCTCATGAAAAAAACTCCTTTTTAGCTCCCTGTTGTTAGAAAAAGGCACTCTGGTGGTACAGTGGGTAAGGCATTTGGGTGCTAACCAGAAAGTTGGTAGTTCAGACTCACCAGCTGCTCTGTGGGAGGACAATGAGGCAATCTAGTTTTGTAAAGATTTACAGCTGTAGAAATTCTATAGGGGTCACTATTAGTTAGAATATACTCAATGGCAGCGGATCATTATTACTACTACAGAAAGGAGCCCTGGTGGCGCAGTGTTAAGCACTGGGTGGCTAACCAAAAGATTGGCCACTTGAACCCACCAACTCCTGTACAAAAGATAGATGTGGCAGTCTCACTCTGTAAAGTTTTACAGCCTTGGAAACCCTACTCTTTCTCATAGAGTCTCTTTCCTATAGGATCTCTATAGCAATGAGTGGTGTGGTAGTGGATTGTTACAGGGGAAACCTGGTGGGTGCAAGCAGTGATCAGCTACTAACCTAAAGATTGGTGGGTTGAATCCTCCAGAAAAGGCCTGGAGATCTAAATCTGTAAAAATTACAGCCAAGTAAACCCTATGGAGCAATTTTATGTTGTAACACAATTCTTACATGGAGTCAGAATTGACTCCATGACAAAGTTTTTTTTTTTTTTGGGGGGGGGTGCTAACTGTTACAGGAGCTAGTTCAAACTACTCACCTCACCACTCCAGACCCTTCATTATCTTTCAGACCTATCTATCTAATCAGCTGGATCTTCTTTTCAGCACTTACCGTCTTATTTCCCCGGGGAAGATTCCTCCAGGCCCTTGTACATACATTACTCACTCCTGTTTTCATGCTGCAGTCCCAGCCTCCACTCTGTTTATTCGAATCCTACCTACTCAACTCAGTTCTCATGTTCTCTTCCTTCCCTGGCTACCAAGATGATCACGCTTTCCTCGGATTGCCAAAGCACCTGTTGTTACAGGAGGGGAACCCCACAAAACCCCAATGGGTTCTTGTCTTCTGGTGAGAAAGAATTGCTCACAGAGATGGAGGTGGTTCATAGAGAGCAAGTCTTTAATGAAACACTGCATGAGACTGTACAGTGGGACAGCCACTAGGTGTATAGCACACTAGCTGGACTGCCAACATTTCCCAGTTGGCTTACAGCAATTATAGGGCACAGAATGAGAAAGCTATACAATCGGCCAGTCATGTGGGTGGGATTCCTAGCTTTTGATATTCTGGTCCTTGGGATTGATCCAGGCACCTGCTTAACTATAGATCAAAAGGGGCTCCTGTGTTGACACCTTAGGACCTGCAACAAATGACCTGGCGATTACAAACCTTTCTACTCACAATTTTTCAGGGTTTCCCCATTCCTATCAGTTGTTGTTGTTGTTGTTGTTGTTGTTGTTATTTGTCATCGAGTTGGCCCTGACTCCTAGCGACCCCTCCTTGGGT